TCTATCTATCTATCTATCTATCTATCTATCTATGTGCCAGCCTGTCTGTCTGTCTGTCTGTCTATCTATCTATTTATCTATCTCTCCATCTATCTAACTTAGTCTAAACATATCTATCTATCATAGTCTAAATATATCAATTTAAGTCTAAACTTATGTATCTTAGCCTAAACATATCTTAGTCTAAACATCTATCTATCTTCGTTTAAACATATCTATCTATTTATCTATGTTAATTTAAACGTATCTAAGTCTAAACATATCTATCTATCTTAGTCTAAAAATGATCTATCTATTTATCTATCTATGTTAGTTTAAACATATCTATCTCTCTATTGGTTTAACAGATTCACATTGAACCTTACGACAAATAGAAATGCTGTTTGTATTGCATCTTTAAAAATTTCTTCTGATCCACATCTTACAAATTCTTACGTCTTTCACAGCATTTCTTAACCTTCGCCACTATATCACTATATTTTTAACTTTAACTTTTTAAGGTTTGTCTGGCTCTCTAGGTTTAACTAATATATATATATATATATATATATATATATATATATATATATATATATATATATAGTAATAAGTAAAGACAATTTTTAAAAAATCCATTTCGGTTATAATTTATTTCATGAATATATTCAAATATTCATCTCTTCAGATCGAAGTTTTTTTAAATCAGTTATTCCTGAACTAACAACATATACAATATTATTAAGTCACACACTAAAATCTATATATTTGAATATATTCATTAAATAAATAACCGAAATATTTTTTAAGGATATTCTTCACTTATTATTATTATTATTATTATTATACATGATGGACTCTCCCGTCGTTTTCGACGTATGTTTGTCTTTCAGTTCAGTTTTTATGTTTATGTTTCGCATGAGACAACAATCCTGCACGGGATTTGAGAACAAATCCACACGAACGGCATACCGAAGGATTGGCCGTCATATGAGCTGATGTATTAGCCTGAGATTTAGTGTTAATTTTTAATTCTCTCAGATGGTTGGGACAATTCTTTTCAAAGTTAGTTATACCTCGGTATTTCTCCAGTTTGCTTGGTTTTCAACAGCAAGTTCGCTCCTCTATAAGGATGTTTGCTGCAATTAAATTGGATTTAAATTTGTACTTGAAGTGTAACCAGGGATGGCCTACATTACGCTTACCATGAAAAAGTTGGCTATACATGAGGATTTTCGGCATCCGATCATCACTCATTTTGATGACTTGACCAGCCCATGTGAAATGTGATTGCATCAGAAAGGATTCAATACCACCGACGCCACATTTGATAAAAAGGTCAGGGTTAGAGATTTTGTCCTGCCGTGTATAACCGCATATTGAACGAAGACAGCGTTTATGAAAAGCATCAAGTTGATTGATGTGAGTTCTGTATGGTGTCCACGATTCTGACCCATAAAGAAGTCTGGTGAGAATGACTGCACGATAGACATAGATTTTCATTTTCAGTGAAATCCCACGAACATCCCATAGGCGATGCTTAAGCTTCCCAAAAGCATTGGTTGCCTTTGATATTCGGTTAACTATTTCGTCATCCAAAGAGGCACTTGAATTGACTTTGCTTCCTAAGTTCGAGAATGATTTCACATACTTCAGATTGTTGTTGCCAACAGTAATGGGAACGATTGGAAAGGTATGGGCAGGTGGCTTTTGTTTTACACCCTTGACCTGCTTAGCAGTAGGCCTTGTTTGATGGACAACTGCAGTTTTCTTTATGCTTATAGTTAATCCAAATGCGTTGCAAGCGGTGGAAAAACGACGGACGAGTGTTTGGGCTTCTCCGATGAAGGTGGCCACGATTGCAGAGTCATCAGTAAAAAAAATATAACGAATAATGCTTGCTCGATATATTCATATATATATATATATATATATAATTCAATATATTTAATGAAAACAGATAACTTTAAGGGTCCATTGGTTATAATTTATTTCCTTAGGGAATTTCTTTTTCCCTGCCTCATCAGACCACACTTCCAAGGGATAAAAAATGAATTTAAATTTACATACATTTTTTTTACACTTTTGAGGGGTAGAATTAAGTTGATGTAAGGTGATATAGAGAGTGGTGACAGACATGGTCGAAATTATATAAATATATATATATATATATATATATATATATATATATATATATATATATATATAACAATTGGTATTTTACATGTTTATATATATTATATATATATATATATATATATATATATATATATATATATATATATATATATATATATCCCTAACAATTGGCATTTTATATATATATATATATATATATATATCCATACCAATTGGCATTATATATATATATATATATATATATATATATATATATATATATATATATATATATCCATACCAATTGGCATATATATATATATATATATATATATATATATATATATATATATCCATACCAATTGGCATATATATATATATATATATCCATACCATTGGCATTATATATATATATATATATATCCATACCAATTGGCATTATATATATATATATATATATATATATATATATATATATATATATATATATATATACCAATGGCATTATATATATATATATATATATATATATATATATATATATATATATATATATATATATATATCCATACATTGGCATTATATATATATATATATATATATATATATATATAATGACACATTATTACCTACTTTTACAATACAATTCAGGGTTTCATGGATTTGCCAATCTTCAGGTACAAAAAGTTACGGACTGTTCAGTGCAGTTGTATGTATGTTTTATATATACGTGAGAGTCGAAATACATACACACATAGATAGTGTAGACAAAACAGTGCTCAATGTAACTAAACAGAAGTATAAAGTATATACTAATACTTACATATATACCTATGTTATCAATAATAAATATTGCAATAATCTTATCTGTTGATTCAATACACATTAATGGATCTATATCCCAATTAAACTCATGATTAATACCTTAGTTTATTTTTCAATATCTACCGAGTAACACTATATTTTGAATTAATACTGCAAAAGAATATTTATAATAACCTTGAACACAAAAGGTAGCGTTGCTCTCATGAGACCCAGAAATGAAAAAACGTTTTGTACCTGACGATTGGCAAATCCATGAAACTCTAAGTTGTATTGTAAATATATATATATATATCTATATATATTAATATTGCTAATTGAGTCAATGTATGATTATCTCTTTATAATATAAAATATATGCTGCGCAATATAATACGTTTATGAAAACAATTGGTCCGCAGTACGAAATTCCAGAGAAAAAAAAATACTAAGACATATCACTCTATTAATTGAACTATGTACTTAGTTCATGTCACATTAACTGGATACCAAACAAAAGAATTCGTGGATTTATCAAATTACAAAATTCGTATAAAAAATTTTCACTTGAAATATTTGAACTTTAGCGTTGTGACTTGTACGTTCCAATATTATACAACCGTTAATAAATAACACATTCTTAAAAAACATCTTTCGGTCTACAACACTTTTATTTCGTCTTCAAGTTTTGATTTTAAAGGAAAATATTACAGCCTGATGATGAGGACATGAAGTTCTTGAAAGTACTTGCTGCTCTAAAAAATACACCAGATCCATCTGAAAACAATTTTATACATAAGGATCGCATCATTCAGTGGATTTTTAGTTGTTTAATGCTTATATTAAGTCTGTTAGCGAAGAGATTTCGCCATTAATTGTATTAATATTGCTAATTGATTCAATGTATGATTATCTCTTTATAATATATATATATATATATATATATATATATATATATATATATATATATATATATATTAATTTGGATTCTCCTGTTGTCTACAAAGTATGAGGGTCCAGCAACTCAGTTCTTACAGCCTTCTCAAGTTTTGAATTCACAGTTGTCTTTCTCCTAGACTGGTTGCCAACCAAAGCTAAAGAACCCTTTTTGCCTGACTGTTTAACCCATAGCTGAGAGGAGAAGGGATGGATTCAAAACTTCCACGAAAATATTTGCGTATAAGTGAATGTAACGAACTTTTCTGGAATTCGAACTCAGCTCATGATTTTCATTATGAGCCGCTATTTATTGCACCACCCGCACACCCATTCGTTAGTGTAGAGGGGTCACCTGTAAGGCGTATCTCCTCCCCTACTATGTCCAAGATTAACCCAATCCTATCTATCTCTATCTATCTATCTATCTATCTATCTATCTAAGAACAGAAAGAAAGAAAAACTGGTGCAAATGACATTAAAAAGAAAGAAAAACAATGAAAGAACGAAAAGATAAAGAAAAAAAGGCGTAAAAGAAAGAAAACAGTTAGAAAACGCGGCAAAAATCAGCCAGAAAAAAATCTACCTTTTGAAAGGAAAGTAAAATAAATAATATTTTAAGAAAGAGATGTCAAATAAAACTATATGAAAAAAGAAAGAAAGAAAAGTAAAATAAAATATACTAAAAAAGAAAGAGAGAAACAAAGAGAGAAAGAAAGAAAAATAAAATCAAATATATTAAGAATGAAAGAAATAAAAAATATATTAAGAAAATCACAAAAGGAAAAAAAGAAAATAAAAATATATTATAAGAAAGAGAGAAAGAAAGAAGAAAAAGAAATAAAGAAAAGAAAGGAAGGAGAACAAAACGAGGAAGAAAGGTAAGAGAAAGATAGTAAAATAAAAATGTTAATAAAGAAAGAAAGAAAAAAGAAAGAAAGGCAAATGTAAAGAGAGGGGTTGAGACAGACAAAAATGTTGGAGAAAGAGAGAACGTATTGACGATGTCAGGTAACAGTAAACATAAACCGTAAGTGTCATCGCCCTTTCTTTCTTTCTTTCTTTCTTTCTTTCTTTCTTTCTTTCCACAATTTTGTCCTTGTGTGTTTTCCCTAAACGACTACCGGAGTGTGCATGACACATTTCCAACCCGGGAACCATCTGTTGCTATGCGGGTGATTCATGGTTACCGTGGCGACATTTATTCGTTTCAATTCGCTTCTTGTAACCTTCCTGATGGACTAGAGACGAATGCAATAATTATTCAGTACGCTACCCACACCTCTTTATCTTCGTTACTCCCACCATTACACTATTCAGACCTTTTATCGATATCTCTTTTCCATATCATAGGCGCTCTTCCGGTCTTCAACCAACTACTTGTCGCCTTCCAACAGATTTGTTGATCACCGTATGATGTTTTTTTTTTTTCTTTTGCTCTCCTGATTGCAACAGCCATAATCGCTAAACGATTCAATCAGGTGCCATGTTTCGAATATGACTCATTAGTTATTTGCCTGTTGGCTAACGATCTCGTTTTGAAATTTCTTGCTTTATAATCTTGTCTTAAAGCTTTTTCGTATTTTACCCATAAATATTTTTCTTTTTTTCTATCTTTCTTTCTTTTTAAAATTCTCACTTTCCCATTTTTTTTTATTTTACTACAATGTTTCTTTCTTTTGCTTAGATTTATTTATTTTTTTACTTTCTTTATTCTTTGTTAAAATTATTGCTTTCCAATCTATTTTGCTGTTATATTTCTTTCTTTTGAACCAAATTTTCTTTCTTTTCTTTCTTTCTTTCTTTTCTTTCTTTCTTTTTTTTATGTACAACATCAACATCGCCTTAGAGTATTTTCTTTGGAGTTTCCCACATTTTTTGCATTATCTCTATCACTTTTCCAAAACGTTCTGTAAATTCCTCTTTCGAGATTACCATCGGGTGGGTTCCGGTGATTTTGGCCCTTGGCAAAAATCAAAACTCCCAGGGAACTAAAGTTATTGTGTAACGGAACTTACACACCTGGGTGGGGTGAGGTGAGCTGAGGCGATGCTTTGCCGTCAAAATCTGCATTAAATATATTTAGATTTCCTTTTGTGAAACATTCATTAATGCCTAACATATACCGTATTTTCCGGTTTACAAGACACACATTTTTCATAAAAAATACCCTGAAAAATACGTGTGCATCTTCCAAGACGAATGTAAGGCAGCACCCAGGCTCAAGTAAGCTGTGACGGTCACCAAAATTAGTTTGACTGATAGGAACGTAGATATATATGTTGAGTCATTACTCTGTATTCAACCTTTTATATGATGTAACCTCAATACGTAGCTGTTACAAATATTTCCAAAACTATAAACCTTCCTGGAGCCGAGCCACAAGCTAAACATGCTCTGTTTACGAGCAGTGGCGGAGCCTTTCTGTTCTTGATTATTATGTCACTGCCATACAAACAAAATTAAACGAGTGATTAATATAAACAATACGTGGCGCCAGTATGTGAGGCACGTATGGTAAATGTGTTGTTGTATGAGAATGACTTTATTTTCTTAGAAATTACTTTCCAATATTAGGATGCGTCTTCCTAGCCGCAGCGTCTTATAAACCAAAAAATACGGAAATTTGTGCTCGGTTAATTAAATTCTGTATAAGTCCTATTTTGTAGTAATTAGGATATTCACTTTTATAGTTATTATTATTATTATTATTATTATTATTATTATTATGTCTTGTATTTCCAAGAGTATAAACCTTCCCGGAGCCGAGCCACAAGTTTAAAATGCTCTGTTTACTAGCAGCGGCGGATGCCTTTCTGCTCTTGACTAGGTATGTCATTGCCATACAAACAAAATCGGACGAATTGTAAACAATATGTGGTGACAGTATGTGAGGGACGCATGGTGAATGTGTTGTTGAATAAGAAGGATTTTTTTCTTAGAAATTTCTTTCCAATATTAGGGTGCGTCTTCCATGACGCTACATCTTGTAAGCCGGGAAATACGGTGATAACGATCAGCACGATTTGTTTCTGTTTGTAAGTTCTGTTAAGCGAAAACAAAATTAGCAAGTGAATCTTACCTTGTTTCGAGTGTCCGACTTGAGGAATTAGCAAGCAAGTGAGATATCCACTATGCCACTGTCCGACTGCTTGGACATAAGCGCAAAATTAATTTGCAAATAAGAAATTAGCCAGGTGTATATGCGGTTATCAGCGTCGTAAGTGAAATCGACGAACGCTTCATTTGGTGCAGTCACATTCTCCCTAATATCAGGGTTAGGTAAGAGGGTATACAAGACGCTCTGGCTTTGGGTGGCATCTAGTTTCAGAGAAGGACAATTCTAACTCTTTCGCCCCAGCCCCTCAACCTCCGACGTCTTACTCTCGGGGTTGAGGTGTCTACTCGGTCCTAACCGAACTTAAGGGAGTGGCCATAGGTCCCCTGAGCATCCGTAGATTATTCGACCGGTCCGCTGGTTTAATCCTGCTTCCTGCCCACGTTGTGATGTGTTTGATCCAGAAAGCAGAAGTGATATCCGTCCATTCACGGTCGACTGAAGATGTAGACACGGCTGGGGAGTCTGCGCTAAGAAATTTAGAATGCAACAAAAAAAAAAAAATTAATATCTGCAGAAAGCCGGATAAACATCGATTCAATGGTTGAATTGTTAATGTCTTTTATATAGCAGAAAAGAATAGTAGAGAAGAGAAATGGGTTACAGAAAAGAAAAGTATTTAACGTAAAAACTCATACACTGGATTCGAGAGAGAGAGAGAGAGAGAGAGAGAGAGAGAGAGAGAGAGAGAGAGTATGTGTGTGTGTGTGTATATATGACTCTTGCGATGGAGGGATAAAGATTTCTGTGCGGGGATTAAAGTTATAGTGGCGTTCCTCCTCCCAACGCCCTCTTCTCTCTTCAAGAATTTTCTCCCGTCTCGCTTTTTCAGCATAACTACGCATTTATATAGATAAACCCGGCTGGTTATAACTGACCCTCGGCTCTACTACTTTGCATGCGATTATCATGGGGTTCTGGCTGCTTCAACCAAAATCATGTGAATTCCAAAGTTCCTTCTAGCTTACTCAGCTCTATTTCAATTTTTAATCGATAAAAATTATTTCGACCATTTCCATTGTCGCCTGATGACCCAGATTCAATGGGTACAACTTCTGGCCTAGATCAGATTTCCCCATCAGTAAACAAAATGCTCTGATTTAATTTCGCTATTCAAATCTACTCCAATTTCACTAAAAAAATATACGCGTGTGTGTGTGTTCCCAGACTCTTTCCCTGTCACACAACTCTGAATTCAAAACTGTGTTGAAACTGAGGAACCATCAACTTCTATCTTCCCCAAGAAGTTATTGTGATTCAAAGATTAATAAAAAAAAAAAAGAAGACGGAATTAGTGGCTGATCCCTTAATGAACATGACATTAAAATATAGCCAGAGCGTACAGGTACAACATTGATCCTAGGTAGAGTCCCAGAGAACAACTCTTTGATACGAAACTGTGGACAGAGATACAAGGATTATGGGTAGAAGTCGCTAGTAATAAAGGCGGGCATTTGGGCGGCATTATTTTTCACACATAATTGCCATGACTTAAACAACATGATCCAATAGAGAAATAAATCAATTTTCACCAATAGCACTGATTTATTTACTGCTGACTTTGATGCATCTTAATGAAACACCTTTATATATAATCCCTCTTAATGAAACACTCTTCTGAAAAATTTAGGACACCCCAAGAAATATATAGGTAATTTTCAAGAATTAGAGACATATCAATATTTAACATTCTTTCAAACAATATACGAGGTGCATTTCAGAGTTTTTGAGACTTCTTCAGGGGAGACTTTTATTAATTTAAAAAAAAGTACCCAACTCTAATCTCATTCCATTTGACTTCAATACACTTGTTGCAGCGCTCCAGGCATTTCGTGAAGGCCACATGGAAGTCATTCATTTTGAGGATGTCCAGGACCCTTGTCACATCCTCCTTCTTGTGTTGTCCTAGGAAAAGGTAGAGTCCAATACGGCTTGGCATGGGAATCGTCACAGGGCTTGACAAAACGACGTTGAACATAACATCGGAGTGTCTTAGGGACTCAGGCACCGGATTTGTCCTCAGGGTTTATTCTCAAGCATTTTCCATGATTTGGTAGGTCCGCAAGGCAGCGGAGATTTTAAATCAGAATTTCCTTCTCTCTCTCTCTATACATATATATATATATATATATATATATATATAAAGGAACAGCTTATGCTGACGACAGGCTGTCCAGCATGAAACAGCCTGTCGCTCTGAGTGTTGACTTCAATGTTCCCTTATATATTTATATTTACATATGCTCTATCTCTGGTATTGAGTACTTTATCCCATAAACATAGCAAACCATAAAACTATATTTCTTCATATATATATATATATACATACCGAGTGTAACAGCAAAATTGTCCAAATCGTGTAACAGCATGGAATCATTGCCCATCCCACAAAATGGTTAATATCTAATCTAAAAACCATTAAACTAATTGAGTTTCTTTTTTCCAGGTTTCCAGATAAACCGTTTAGTCATCATCTTCACACCATTTGTCGTAAGAGTCACTGAAAAAAACTTTTAAATTTATTCAGCTAAAAAGAGAGCAGCTTAAAATTGTTTTGCGTCAGACCCACTGTCTTCCCAATATATATAGTTGTAAACCAAAAATTCTTAAATGACCTGATATGGTGTCCATACCCCACATCAGGTAATTTGGGATTTTATGGTTTACTACTATTTATTTGCTCTGTAATAATAAATACATTGAACTCTTTTTGTGTATCAGTTTTTAATATTTTATATTACTAGGATCCACTTGGATTATATACCAAAGATCTATTACCTTTACTATATATATATATATATATATATATATATATATATGTGTGTGTGTGTGTGTGTGTGTGTGTGTGTGTGTGTGTGTGTGTTGGTTGTGGGTGGCATCCGTTGGTCTTGAGAAACCTTGAAACCAAAGAGTTATGCCTCAGCTGCTGATGGCAGTGCAGCACTTCTCCCTCTGGACAGGGTTTTATGAGAGATCGGCAGCTGCCCATACATCACGCCTACCGTCTCCGATGTTGTCTCAAGTGAAAGGTAGAGACCAATGCAGCTTGGCAGTGGCGTCGTTACAGGTATTACCAAAACGACGTTGAACATAACATCGGACTGTCTTAGAGACTCCGGCTCCGAATTTGTTCTCAGGGTTTACTCCCGAGGCTTTTCTCATGATTGGGTATGATCGCAAGTGTGTATGTGTATGTGTGTTTATGCACATACTGTTGCGAAGGGCAGAATCAGAGTCCTGGACACATCTTTTCGTCAGATAATGAACTTGGGGTCAAGCTTGATTTCAGGGCAGAGGCATCATTGCCACTAATTCAGGGCTCCCCAGCAGTATAGCATTGTAAGCGATCTGGGATTGTAAAAGAGATATTTGTCGCAGAGTACTTCCACAACGTAGAGAATAAATCACTAAGTTCAGATTCGAACATCGGGGGCAGAAAGAAATGCCGAAAACTCGATTCGCAGGTACTATCTCAAGAGTTTGTCGAAAGTTTTTCAGATTTAAATCTGCGGAATTTTACTTAAAAGATACCGAAAAGATGCCTGAGAAGTAATAAGAAATCATTCCGAATGATGGTGACTACACAATTGAATAAAGTGTAATTTTACTTTTTTTTTTAATAATAAAGTTCATAAACAAATACGGAAATTATTTATGACTCAATCTAATAGTTACTTACTAAGCTTAGCTTAGTGTTAACACCCAATGCGGACCAAATAAATGGCTTAATCG